GTCCTTATTATTCTTTGCATCCCTTGCCAAGTTCAGCTATCTCTCTGCCTTGGTTTTCCTGGCCTCACACCTACACAACTAGGCAATCTCTCCCTAGAGGATACATGTCTCTGCTTCCATTATCTTCTTGTGCATTTCCTTCTTTCCTTTTTGCTTAACCAGCAGTTTTTGATTAATCTAAGCTGACCTCTTGCTCTGTCAATGAGAGCTCCTGTCCTCCATGGGTAGATCTTCCAGTCCTGTTCTGCTCCCTTGTCCCAGTTTCCTAGGTTTGCCCATTGGTTAATTTCTCAAAGCACTGAAATATTGCTTTCCTAAAATTCAAGGTGCTGACTTCACTCTTCTCCTGACTGATGACTGGTACTGAATTCCCATCCAACTTGCCTCACCTTCACAGTTGTCCTTATACAGTTGATATGAGGCCCTAGAATCTAGGGACCAGGGAAATGAGAAACGGGATTGAAGTTCTTCTGGAATGGAGGGGTTGCCTAGGAAGGAATGCCTAAGGGTTCCCTTTTGAAAGGAATGGAGGGCCCAACATGCCAACCAGACCCAAGCCACAGGGAGGTGTGTTGCCTCCCTGAGGCCGATGTAAGAGACATCACCAAGAAACAACCCAACCTGGTATGCCACTGGTACGAAAAAGTGCGAGGGCTCCGAGAACAGGGGCAGACTTGCGCCGGCTGACTCAAGCACAGGCCTCTCTCCTGCAGCAGGATACATGGTCAGATCCATTCATCCCAGCAGCTCCAGTCTCAGCTAACAGGAGAGCTCTTTCACTAGCAGGAGTTAGAGACAAGTCAAAGCATTTAAGATCAGAAATGAAAGTCAGCCTGCTTGTGCTCCCCAGAGCTGAGCTATCCCAAGATGGATTACTACAATCCTTTTCCAAAATTAGGACTGGTGGAGAAACTTGCTCTGTTGGACTATTAGTCGCCACAAAACAGGTGACTGAGATAACATTCCTGCTACTTTTTGCCAACTAAAAGCCATCAACATGTAACTGCTGCCAAAGATGAGGCTGGACTGCAGTTTGCAGGCACTGCTCCACGGGATGGTGACCCAGTAACAGCAGTGCTGCTGCTGCTGCTTCAGTTGTGGTCTGTGCTAATACAGATACAGAAATTTTAGGCTGCAGCACGTAAATATTGCATGAGATAGACCACAAATATGGCTACAAAATACATGTTTATATAACAGATGCCAAATATTTTTTCAGACTGAGTATTCTAGCAACTGTGCTTAGCAAGGTTAACCATATACGTTTCTGCCACGTGCCTTTGTGCACACCTCACTTGAAAGACCTTTCTGCACCTGTGAGCATTATGCCTTCAATATTATTACTAGTTTGAGCAGTGGATAGGTATTTTGCTTCTAGACACACACATACTGCCCCTGAAAAAGCATGGCTCACAGCATATATACAAGTAGGGTGTGAGAACGGCTGCCTCTGCAAAAACATGTGACCAATACTCATGCCTACTTTAAGACTACATCAGACAAGTGATACAGCAACCACACTATAATTTTACATGCACATGTAAGATCACTCTTTGTGGCATTACTGAAAGGAAAGCCATAATTAGAACACGGAAAGAAAGATCTGAGCAAACATCCATCTAAAAATCTCTCTGGTAATTAAAGAAGTCATACTGCTCTCTGCTTCAAAACCAATAAACAAATTATCTGAAGAAAGCTAATAACAAGAGCTGTAGTGTACTTGTCTTATTTCATGTTGCATTTTAAATAAAATACTGATTTAATAATAAAAAACACCAATGAAGATTTGGAATTTTTTCTTGCTTTTAAGAAAATTGATGATGTGATGAAAGTTGTAACAACTCCAGACAACAAGAGAGAAGGAAGAACAGTGACTTTTACCAGGTGGCAGAAAGATCCATTATCTTTTTGAAGATTCCTACCTTATGTCCTTCAAAAGGATTGTTACGGATTTTACTCTCCTAGTTTTCCTTTCTTGCAATGCCTTCATGTGTTAACTTTTTTAATGAATGCCATTATTACAAATAAAGTAATTTTCATTTTTTTATACTAATTTTCCTAAACTCATCCTCTTCATTAAATTGATAGAATCAACCTTCTCCCATTTGCATTTGGGAAGTCTAGATCTGGACAGCTGAGATTGTAAAATACCTTAGGGAATTAAAGCTAGACAGCAGGCTGACAGTAGGCAAACACTGAACTAAATCTCTGAGTACTGCTACTGGACTTTCATTTTTTCAGGCATAAACACATTTGCAAAACACTAAATGTAATCTCAGAGATTATTATATTTATATTATAAATGCAGACAACTTCTATCCAGTTCTAGTTAGTTTATTGCATTTTCCTCAGTAAAGCGTGAAGCATACTGTTTTGTAGGTGTTCAAAAAATGCTTCACAGACTTTACGTTCCTAATATAAATGTAACTGCTGGCTGAATACACTATTGCATTTGTTGTTACGCCATTTCTATTAGCAGTTTCCAAACAGTGCTGCAAAATTTAAAGTTAATTGTTTCCTACATTTTGCAAGTTTACCTGTTTTAACCTTAATTTTATTCTGACACGTTATTAATGTGAAATTATTACTCTGACAAATCTACCTTACAATAGGACACAGGCCAGAGACATTCTCATTAAAACATAACTGATTCAATGTTTGTACTATGATTTAACAGAGACCTTGGAACGTGGTATTAAAGAAAGCCTGGGTTGTTCAACTTTGCAGAAAAACAATGTTTTCCCATCACATTTTGAAGCCGCACTGCTGGTCAAGGATAGCATTGCATTTGAAAAGCTGAATCTTTTCATGGCATAGCCATATCATATGAAGATATTCGGGAGTTGTGGGGAAAGAGATAAGAAAGCACTTCTGAAGGAGAAGACAAATTATGAGATGAAAGATGTGGGGTACCAAAACTGAACATTAACTGCTGAAACTCGGATGCTGTTTAAGCTTTCCAGAGCTGACAGCTGTAACAAAACTTAAATTTACATGTACATCAGTCCACATCCACTGAGTACAGCATCCAGTCAGGAGGTGCTAACATGTTCAAGAGACTGACAAGCCCAGAGGAGAAATGCAGCACTCTGCTACCAGAGGTGAGTTCATACCAAAAAAACCAAGCCAAGTGAGGTAACACATATGCCCCAAACCATAACCCTCTAAAATTACTCTGCATTATTTCCTTTCATATTTTATGTGCAATATTTGATTTGCATTATCTTATTTCTTGTAAACAGTAGCTCGTTTAAGAATGAAAAAAGTACTAAACTAGCACATAACAGGTGTATGACCTGTATAGCAGTGATAAAGTAAGGACAGCAGGAATTTTCTTTTTAAAAGAAAAACCTGCAACTATGCAATGTGGATATGTCTGCACATTGTTCCAGTGATTTTAAATGCGGTTTTCAATGTATGAACAAGGGAGGTGCTGTGGAGTTCCAGCACGTGAGCAGAATCCACCTGCCATAATCCTGATTTGGGCAGCAAAGATCTTGCACAGACGCAGGATGAGTTACTGTCTCCTGCTGCAAGCGCCTGGATTTATTGCACTCGGCAACAGCTCTCGTGGGATCAAGTACAGTGAAACAACACCAAATGTAAAGTGCATCATGAAAAACACATGGGAGGCATGAGGGGAAAGCATGACTAAGAATTTAGGATGATTTCCTTTCTTTGTCTTTTATGCAGGGAATACTTCATGAGGCTTTAGGCCCAGCATGTGTCTTTGCACAAAATAAAATGTTTGCTTACCACAAAGGTTTATAAACAGTAGTCATCTGATGGGACTGTTGTTAGAATTGTTCTTATTATTTGGGTTCAAATATGAGAATACCTATACAGGGAAACATAATATCTGTTTAATACCTATTACTAGATGTAAATAGGAATTAAAATTCAAAATCTATTTGTCCAGTTTTTTCCTCTTTTGCCATAAAGTACCTTTTATATTTCAGCTGAAGTAACCATACTCTTTTTAATATAGCATTTGATGTTGGCCATTGAGATTATTTTGGCACAAGTTTTGTAATAACAGATTTTTTATCAGATTTATTAATTGACTGGATTTTTTTTACACTCTAAGTCCTTGCAATTCTCTTTGTGAGAATAAAAGGATAGTCTGTCATAAAATAATTAAAAACCCTGAGGACCTTTTTTCAACTGGTAAGAATATTAATTGGGTTCACCATCAAAATGTGATAACATGTAAAATATCTTGTTTTGCATGTTAATGCGCCATAATTGCACAGAGCTTTTCAACTTCAAAGCTCTTTACAAGAATTAAGTGGATGTCCCTGGAGGCCTTAAGCAACATTTTCTTTGCCTTCAAAAAGAAGATTTGCACCAGACAAAAGCTTTGTGAAAAACACAGGACTGGGCTTTGTTTTTTCAGCCTACTGCCACTGCACAATAAGAAAAAATATCACTACCGTTTTGCAGATGGAGAAAAAAGGGGAACTTAATGGGACCATCCCTGCTCATTTCACACTCGGTACTTTACATCAGTAGTGGTGCACTGAGACAATGAGAAACAAAATGCGACTCAGTTTTCCAGAGCCACGCCAACATACATCTCAAGTATTCACTTCCCCACCAAAGACCAAGCTACTGACAGTCCAGTGCTTAGCCCCTACTGCAACCACCCCACATACAGTGAGTTTGCTCAAGCACGCATGAAGAGAAAAAAAACATTTGCTAGAATTCAAAGGCTATTACTTAGTACTTGGCCTCATTAAAAGTCATTTGAAAAGTCCCAAAACCCAGGAGACAAATGGTTATTCCTTTATGTCAGACTGAAACCTATCACATATCACTACGCAGTATTATCACACAGAACTTTCTTTTCATTGTCTTTTAAACCATGCTACAAATAAGAAACTGCTACAGATGTTTACAACATTGGTGCTAAAGAATGAGTATTATTTCAGCACCCTTTGCCGTAAGGGTACTTTTGGTGAGTACAAATAAGACCAACAAGTATTCCTCTTTGTACTTACCATGTGATTTTTATGCCACTTCATGGGACACAGGGTGTAATACATTGGGTCTTTTTATTGCTCAAGTAGAAAGTGCTCATTACCTATTTATGTTTATATATAGGAAAAAACAAAGAGTTATTACAATGGGCATACTTCACACTGTTGTAGTGGTTGATTTCCTCAAGATGGTCTTCTGGGGTTTTGGCGCAGTTTGTGGAGGCATAGTTGCAGGTCTTGGAGGAGGAAAGCTATTACTGGGACTTATCCCCAACCCTCCATTTTCCAGAAGAAATGGAGGCAGTGGAGGTGGAGGAGGTGGCAGAGGAGGGCACTGATGTGGCAGCTTTCCTGCAGCCCGGGCCGGCTCGCTGTGCAAGTGCATGTCCCTGTTTTTGATGTTATAGCGAACGTCACAGTCGGGGCAGTAGCCGTGGTACTGCACTTTCTCACTGAACCGTACGCGCTCCCTTGCCCCCGCCTGGGGACACCGCTCCTTCTCAGCTCTGTGCACCAGCGGCTGCATCACCGCTTTCTCCAAGTTACTGTTGGGCATACAGCACACATCTCCATTTGGGATGCGGCCGGGCCCGATGGGCAGGCCCCCGTTCCGCAGCAGCGTGCCGTTGGTCTTGACTGGGTTGGCCAAGGGAGGCAGCCTGGGGGGCTCATCACACTTGACGGGCGTCAGTCGAGGGGGAGGAGGCGGCGGGTTCGGCTTCCGCAGCACGGTGAGGATGGCAGAGGGGTGCGCAGGGGGCTTGATGAGGGGCGTGCTGCCCCGAACTTTGACCTTCTCCAAGCTGGAGGCGGTTGTGCTGCTGGAGCTGCTGTTCAGGGTGTCTGTTTTGGAACTGTCTGTCATCTCTTCCTCCAGCTGCAGATCACATGTCAGTGTGTCAATCTGGTCAACCACCTGCACAACAGCCAGAGTGAGAACAGTGAGAAAAGCATACCTCAGAGAAGGCACAGAAAAACAAAACTATTCTCCACTATCAGCTTGTCTTCCCCAGAACTGAAGCATCCAATTTTTTTTTGACCATTATTTCTTTTTTCTTGTCAACATAATAAAATAATCATAATAAAAATGACAACAACAATAATGATAAGGATGGCTAGTTTGCTAGCTCATCACCTGAATACAAGATAAATATAACTTGAAACAGTCTAGAATGAAATTCCCTTTCTTTCCCTCCAGGGTTTACTTGGTAATATCATAGTGAGTAAAGTATAATTCTTCAGTATTATGCTTTGCCTTCCAGTGCAGGAGGAGACAAAATTGTTCCGCTTTAGCTTCTACATGACAGCTTCTGAACCCAAAAATTCTGCAGAGTATCTTTTAGCTCTGACCTTGCAAACACTCTAGATTTAAATCTGCATTCTCTGTATAGGTGATATTATACATCTAGAATTGTAAGTTTGATACACAATTTTCTGACAATTTTTTAACATAAAAGAGACTCTGAGAAACAAAATCTCTCTTGTTATCTCCCTTTATGAGCATTTTCCATAAGATCAGAAATCCTCCAAAACAATTCCAAAAGAGCATTTGCTGAAAAAGAAAATGTTGCTTGGTTTCCACTCTCAAGTGTTTAAGAACTTATGCACTTTATTTGAATTTTTCTTCTACCTCCCAGAATTCTGTTTTTAGATTCTCCGCTGTTAGATCTTTTCTAGTCTTCAAGACTCCCTTTTCTACTGATTTTTTTATAGGGCATGAAACCAATGGTGCGCTCACTTGGTAGAGAAGTTTTTAATATGACAATTAAAAGCCCTTCCTGAAAACTGCACTTAACTCAGTACCCAGGTGAACAATGTAGTTACAAGCTCCACCTCACCACAACAGATACCACAGTAGCACTGTGGTATCTGAAGTAGCTGAAGTAGCAATGGGACACATTTAAAAACTGATCTCTGTCCTTCAGAGCCTCCCAGGGTGTACATAAAGTAATCACTAGCTGAAATGTTACTAACTGGTGCATGAATAAAAACCTGTGCCATTGTTTTGGGTCCTTCTGGGAGATCGGTGATGTTCTGGAGGAGGCAACCCAATACAACCCAAATGAAACCAGATGTAGCCATTGTGCCACAGAAACTTTCATTTCTACTTCCTGCTTTCAATAATTTGGTGCTGATACTACTGATTTCAAACTAAGACTATTTTTAGGCATATGAGCCACATAATAACTGCAAAAAATGTGAAAGTCACTACCAAAGGCAGTGACTTTCTTCAGTCAAATCATTCCCCCACTTATGTGCCCAGTAGTAAAAGGTAAATAATAAAAGCAAAACCACCATAAAATGAAAAAGCACTCCAGCTTTCACTGCTCATACAGTAGGCTGAGTTGCATAATACAAAATTCATAAAAATTCATATGCAGCAATTTAGTTTAGTGCTTTCCTCCTTTTAAAACCAGCAAACATGCAAATAAGCATCATTCAGGAGCTTTCAAGCATCTTTGAAAAAAAACTTTACAATACTTTTTCTCTAAAATTATTGCAAACAACTCATTTATTCAATATTCTAAGTCCAGTATCATGTTGCATTTAAACTTTTATTTTTTTCATTAAAAAAAAAAAAAAAGAAAAAAAGAAAAAATATGCCCTTAAAACACAGACATTAAATCCCTGAAATAGTAAGGATTAAAAAAATTTTACCAAAGCTGAAACTACAGTTGAACAGTTGAACTCTAGTAACTGCCAGATCCCACACATCCCCTCCAGGGTACAGCATATAAGAACTCTGGAAGATTTCAGAATAAAGGTAGACAAATCCCATCTGTACCAAAATTCATTCCAAGAATGACAGTTTACAAGTGAAAGAACTCATTACACCTTCCATTTCATAAGCAAAATAAGGCAGAGGGAACTTCTCAGAAGAAAAAGGGAACAAAGAAAAGAAAGTTAAGTTCTGGACAATAAGCCTGAAATTTAAACATCCCTCTGCAAGCTAAGTGGGGATTTGTGTAAATATAAAGGTCTGCCTATATATATATATAAATATCCTATTGCATCCTATCATCTTTTATTAAACTATTATATTAAACTATAACAGTGATAGAATGGATCGATGCAACATAAACCAAAGAAATTCCTTGGCAAGCAAAGAAACAGAAAAATCATGCACTGCAGAACAAAAATTTTCTCAAGAGTAACAGGAAAGTCTGTTATGAACTACCCTTCAAGTTAATGACTACAGAATTTATCTCATGCCTTCTGGGCAAATATGTAGTACACATTAAAATTTTTTTTGTCACTTATCCATTTGTAGAACATAAATCCAGCATGAAATGGCTCTGACACAACACAGTTTATCTGTCCAAATTCATTCCCACCACGAGTTGTGAGTCTGTGTACTGTTATTTTCTTTTGCTTTTTTGTCCCAGAAGGTAAATTCAAATAAGATGAAAAAGCAACATGAGAACCCATGACTAATACAGTGAAACTATTGTAGTTAAAAAGAAAAAAAAACATTTTGAGAAAAAAGAAAAACATCTCTTGTTTCACAGTGCATCTTCTATGGAAGTAAGAGAGAGAATGTTAATTTAAAAAAAAAAATTAAAAAGGTGCTCTAGTTGTGCAGAAATGTGGCCATTTTTTCATTTTTGAATAAAACAGACTTGATTCACATGTACAAATATCGAGGATACATAATTTTATAGTCCAAGGAGCCCCTTAGCCATTAACTGGATTTGAGCTGTGCAGATATGCCCACTTCTATTCTGCCAGCAGTATGCTGAGGCTTCAAGCTCTGTAGAATCCAATGTGACACTCCTGAATGAACCAGGACATCAGTCTATTCTGATCTTAGATAAGATATCGAATTATCTTAACAATACTAGGTGCCCAGAGTTGGGTTTCTCTACCAAAATACAAGATTACACCCTTAGCAACATGCATTTGGACTCAGAAATTCTGTGCTGCAATTAACAGAGCACAGAGAATTAATCAGTAAAGTCAAATTCAGGTAAAAAGGAAAAAAAATACTATTCAACCCAAATTAGCAACAAAAAAACCCCAAAATCCCAAAATCTCCACTGAAGCAGCAAACAATTTGCAATGAAAAGATATTTTACAGTTAACCCAATCCTCAATATTACCAAATTTTTGTATAAAAAATTACAAAAAGCAGGTGCTCAGGCAAGAACACTAGAAAAGTTACACAGAAGTATTGTGTAGAACCTTATTCCATTTCAAACAATTTCTAACTTCCTACCTGATTTTGTATTAAGCAGATTTTGACATACTTATCTACAATGAACATGTGAACATGCCTGTATCGTGTTGAACCTGCATCAACTTTTGGCATCTGCAGTATCCTCCAGTTACCCATCTTCATTGCAAGGAAATGCCACCTACACCTCTTTCTGCTTGAAAAAAAAAAACCCAGATGCTTTTATAGACAAAGAGCTTAATGAACTTGCATAATACTCAAGCTGTAGCTGTTTTGTGAAACCACAGGTACAGAAACTCTCTCAGTCTTGAAATTGGGTTGTGCGTTGGTTTTTTGTTTGTTCTTACAATGTATCCATCAGCATCTTCCTAAGTGAAGCTGTATTAAGAAGTAATGTCTATTTATGCTAAAATACTGTAACAAAGCACAGGGGATCAAGTCAGTATTGGAGTAAATAAACAAACTTCCATGCAGATTAGTTCAGCTTTCTCTTACAGTAGTATCTCAGTAGCTCAGTCACTCACCCTGCAGCAGCAGGAAAGGGCGAGGCTGGTGTCAAGACCATCAGTGTTAGGGCATCCAAGAGATCAACCCTATCCTAAGCAAAGTTACACACATCAAGTTGTTGTTGCCACCACAAAGTTTTGGGTAAAGAATACATTAGTAACTTCAGCAAGCTAGTATTATGCTTTAGAGTACACTGACACAGAGTCACAGAATAGCCTAGGCTGGACAGGGTCTCAAAGATCAACTAATTACAACTCCCTGCCCATAAGCAGGAGCGCCTTCCACTATATCTGTCTGCTAAAAGCCCCATCCAACCTGGCCTTGAACACTGTCAGGAAGTAGGCACCTCCAGGTTCCCTGGGAAGCCTATTCCAGTGCCTCACTATCCTTGCAGAAATGGATTTCTCCCTGAGACCTAATCTAAACCTACTCTCTTTCGGTTTGAAGCTATTTCTCTTGTACTACCTATACATGCCTTTGCAAAAAGCCTCTCTCCATCTCTCTTCAGGTACCCGAAGGCTGCAGTGGGGTCATCCCACAGCCTTCCCTTCTCCAGGCTGAACAATCCCAGTTCTCTCAGCCTTTCCTCATAGGAAGGGTGCTCCATCCTCTGACCATCTCAGCGGCCCTCCTCCGGATTTGCTCCAGCAGATTGATGTCCTTCCTGTACTGGGGACCTAGAGCTGCATGCAGCACATTCCATCTTAGCCTCTGAACATAAATGAAATTAAAAGTGCTTAATTTTCAGTGACAGACATTATTCAACTGGTCCCTTACATTCTGAAGTAGACTGAACGACTCAAGTTAGGATGGAAATAAACATGTAAGTGAAAATTTATGACTATGTTGGGCTCTTGAGAATTTAAAAAGGCCATGAAAACTCAGCATCATGACTCTGAATTAACATTTCAGGGAAAGCAAACTGGGAAGCCCACACCAATTTTTTTTAAAAAAAGCCTTTTTTTCCATGAAGAAATAATAAGAAAAAAAAAGAAATTACGGGAAGCTGTTCCTCAAGTTCCCCTTTAAGAATCTGACACAGCTGTGGCAATTCTCCTGTGAACTCTTTTGGATGAAGTCTCATAGAGATGCTGCTCTGTTCTCATAGACAACAGAGAGAGACATGAAGGCAGATATGTAGCATGCATTCATGATGAATAGTACAATTACAATTCTTGTCACACACAGAAGAATCCTGATAAAACTATGATAAACAAACAGGAGCCCTGAGAAAA